GTTTTCTTCTTCCCCTTTGATTCTAGCTTCCAAGAATCTATTTGAGGTAATGAAAACTTCTTGTTTAATTATTTGATATTGACAGACATCTTTTATGTTGGTAATTCACCCATTGGTGACTTTAATGTTGAGTTTGATGGATTTGAAGTTGTATTGTTATATGAAATTTTGTGGTTGTTGAACCAATTACTCAAAAGTTGTTAAATTCATATTTTTGATTTATTGCATATATGATATGTTACCAAAATTGTAGTCTTGATGTTGTCCGAGTTGATTCAATGGTTTGCATGCAAGTTTCGATGGTTGGATGAAGGAGGAGATTGCCTACACATCAAAGGTGCAAGGTATCCTCACTAAGCAAGCCTTCATAAGTTAAAGGCCAAGCCTAGATTTCATTGTATTTGCTTAGAGACATGTTAGTCTCTTAAAAAATGATGATGAGCATAAAGGACAGGCATCAAGTTAATTTTATTTAATCCTTGGTTAATGAATACCAATGTCGTGGTAGACTCACACTAAAGTTTTTTATCCTTTATAAAAGTATTGATCTTTCTAGTCTAAGTAGTGAGACTTGAGAAACCAAAAGTTATTTACTTATCTATTATGCCAAATGTTGTTTTTGACGAGGTCCCAATACAGGCCAGACATTGTATTGACTTGACCTAGAGATGAAGGATCATACCTTGTAGGTTTGATAAGATTAAACCACTTAAATTGCTCATTGTGTTGTTGGATATCTCTAAATTTGAAAACGCGTAATGACACATGAAGTTGTTAAAGTTGTTGAGTTGTTACATTTATAGTTGATTTTAAGTTGTTAAATTGAAAGTAGCATTTGTCGTTCAAAGTTATGAAAGTTGTTAAGTAGTTTAAGTTTTTATGTTGTAAGTTATGAAATGAGTTACTAAGTTGTTTTCTTAATGTTGAATGTTGTTTCATGTAGGAGTTGTTTAAAGTTGAATTTGATTGCTTTTAAAGCTTTTATTATATATTGTTGCCGAAAAACTTATCCTTATGTTGATTATACTTGATATAAGAACGCATCATGAATAGGTTAGAGGGGTGGCTTGGAGAAAAAAAAATTCATGTTTGTAGTGGTCATGTTGTTGGTGCTACTGTAATGTAGCTTGTATAGTTGTCTTGATTAACACTAGGATTTTATTTCAGTTTTGGATTTTGTATATGTTGTATAGATACAAGGATGAACGTAACCCCATAAGGGGATTTATGTTTTCAAGAGTTGCTTTATCTTTATATGCACCCTTTATATATAAAATGCTGAATGAATACTTGGGAATTGTTTACATGATGTCCTAGGTTAGTTGACTTATATTTTTTGCTGCTTTTATGTTGTACTCGTATGACAACCTATTAGGTCATTACACATGTGGTTTATGATGCACCATAAACAACTACCCTTAGGTTAATCCAACTTCCAATTATTCTAATGTTATTATGGGTAATTTTGAGCATGCTCGAGAAATGTTCAACATAATCAAGATATTAATACAATATTGTGTGGGAAATTGAAATAAGGATTTTAAATATCCTTTATTTGAACCTTTCCTGGTGTGAAATAGAAAGTAAATTTTGGTTAAGTATTTTGGCCTCTACTTGGTAAAAAATTATTAAGAACAATTGTTCAAGAATATCAAAAGTGATTGTTTGATATAGTCAAAAAAGACTTAGAAGAAATTTGCATGTATTTTTGCATATCTTGAAAAATTCTATTTGATAAATTTGATAGTTACATCGAAAAGGCAATTATGGCTACCCAAATAATTTAGTAATTATCTAAAAAAGTCATATTTTTCAAGAAAATGTGATCAAATATAGAGTAGTTATCAACAATTACTAGAAGAAGTTACTACATCAATTTTGACATGTTACTACCTAGAGAACACATGTCAAAATTGTGTAATAAGTAGGTAGTTATTGAACATATGTCAAATTCTTTCATTTTGACTCTAGACTAGAAAAACTATAAATAAGGGGACCTTGGTCATTTGTTTATTTGTGATTGCATCTAACACAACACTCCAAGCATCATTCACATCAATACTAATGGCTCAAGGTTTCTGAAAAAAATGTGTATGTAATTCACTACTTAGTGTAGTTTGTCTTTCTATAACTATTTCGACTTTTGATAACACTTTCTTATACTTTTTTTATAACTCATTTTTGTTGCATTTCTACTTTCTATGACTCATTTTCCTCCTCATGACTCCTTTAACTTTTTATGATCTTTTTTTCCCCTTTAGATGAATCCTTAATTGTTTATCTACGTGTTATATCTATTATATAAATAATAAAGCAATAGGCTAGGGAATTTACATCTTCAAACTTTATTAGGAAATCGACACCTATAAAAAATAATGGGTTTTTGGTCTTTTCATTCAATACTATAATTGAACTTCCTATAAATTACTATATTTTCCAAAATTTTAAGTTTGTCATGTGCAAGTGTTGAGGGCAAATTTGGTCCTTGGAAAATAAAATGCATGATATGACTACTAGAAAAGTTAATTCCACTACCTATCCTATGAGAAAAGCAACATTGCACTTTTTGTTGTTGTTTCTGTACCCATTTTTTGTATCCATCACACAAGTCTCTCCAAAGCCCTTACTTTACTTTACTTTTTTTCTTCTTTCATTTCTTTATGTTTTGTTCATTAAATTTTTCTTCTTATTTTTACACATTATATTCTTTGTGTACATTGTAGATAAATCACATAGCTCTTTTTTTTTTCTTTTTTTTTTCTTCTGGAAAACCATGAAACATGATACTTAAAATTTTAAATTTTAAAAATTGTTGATAAATAATTATTTTGTGCAAATTAAATTTTATATGTAAATTGACTAGTACAAAAAATGCATAAAACATAAGATATAAAGATAAATATTTTACACAAAATACATTAACATATCAGTGATTACAAAATTTATAATCATTAATATCATACATTATTTATACCAATCATGGATAATATTGAGGTTTTCAATTTGCATTAGTACAAAAATACTATTTCTTGACGCATTTTCTATGTCGACTATTATCCACATGACATAGAAGGTGACATTATGACATACTTGTAAATATGCCAAAAAAATATATATGACAGTGTTAACTTACCTATAATAAAATGTTCTTTCTATAACTAATAAGTCAACACCAGTCATAAAATGTATTGGTTAGTCTTTGACTCCAACCTTTTTATAATAGGTGTTGACTTACCTATCATAGAATGAAACATCCTATGATGGGTGAATCAACACACGTGTAGAGAAAAGATAAACATTAAGAAGGAAGTTTAAAATAGTGTATATAAAAAACTCGTACACTTTTTTTAGTAAGGTAGTAACGCTAGTCAGATGAAGTAAGAAGAGTAGTCAAATGTTATCAATCCAACTAGATTAAGTTCCACTATCTTTAAACAAAGATATAAATATTCCTTTACCAAGCCACTTTTGACTCAATCCTAAATATTAATTGACTTGTCTCTTTAAGTAACTATCTAAGTATTCTTTTAACAATAAGCCTTTTCAAGCTTAACAACTAAATGTTCTTTTACAGCCAAGTCTCTTTAAATTCAAAACAAATATTCTTTTACAAGAAGCCTTTCAAAGCTCAACCTTATAATAATGGTTATTAAGGTTACACAAATGTTATGTTCGTCTCATTTAAACGTTATACAACTAATTGTAAAACAATGAGTGTTTACAAGAAAGAATGTATTTTTTAGAGAATATGTTTCTGTACTAATATATATCGCATCTCCATCTTTCTTGTGCTTTGAAACTTCTTATATAGTAGCTTGGAGAAGATGACTATCGTAACACTTTGAGTATAACTCATAAGTTTGCTTTGTTTATCTTTATCGCCTTCCCTTATGGTGGTAGGTAATCATTTGACACATTTAATGTGAATATTAAATACATTTCATCAAATAGTACCTCTTATCTGATTAAGGATACTACTTATCAACTTTCTATACCAAATAGAGCTTGCAAAAGCAATGTCAATGTAGAGTGGCTATAGTAGTGACTTTATTTATGACTTCATGGATTTGGTTCTAACGGAAAACATGATTCTTCTCTTTAACAGATTTGTGAATTCCACGACGGTCTTTTGATTTGATCCGTTAAGAATGAAGCATTCAAAGCGAACATTGTCGTTAGTTTCAATAAATGATAAATATTTAATATATATGAGACAGATTGTATGCTTCGTCTTTCAAGAATATGTTTCAGAGACATTTTCAAAGACATTTTTTATATATAAAAATGTTTTTGTCTGTTAGCATTAAAAAAAACCTACGAGCTTAGAAAATCCTCTTTTGACCTAACAACATGTCATAAAATGTGTCCTTATTAGGTCATTGAAAGCAGGAATTGAGTTTAAACTCTACTATTTCATCATTTTCTTCGTTCGAACAACATCAATCATTGAAACAATTTCTAGTGACACCTTCCGTTCAACCACTGCCTCTATTTAACCAAAATCTTTATTTAAACAAAAATTACACTACAAGATAGTACATTATAATAAATGAAGACTAAATTAATCTAAAAACTATTATTTATGGTATACCATACAATAGATAAACAATGACGTACTCTATAATTCATCATTTGATAAAACATATAAATAATAACTTGCTTTTATGGGATGCTGTAAATTTACATTTGAAAGTCAAGATTGACAACCAAACAACACAAAAAATATGAATTAATGTTTACATAAAAGGAAAGTTATTAAATTAAACTTATCTAAAATTAATTTTATAAATTTTAATTCAAACATCCTTAAATCTTTAAAATGTACTACTTGATGTTTTTTTTGGTGAATACTACAAATTAAAAAATATAAAAATAAAAAGATTCTCTTCTTTCTTCTTTCTTTCCTTTTTCTCGTGTTCCTTTCTTTTTCCAACGGAACCGTGCAAGATAAGAAAAGCAGAAGAGAAAAGAGAAAAAATAAAAAAAAAATATAGTGGAAGCCTATTGAGACGCGACGATTCAAGGCAAGAACATAAAACTCAAAATTTAAGAAAATGCAGCGAAAATAAAAAGCGAAAAGACGTGCAGTAGAAGGTGAGAGGTGGATGGTGTAATACGCACACTCACGAAAACTGAAATCCCAAATAATCATATATTTATATTTTTCTGGCACCAACCCAAAAAAACAATAACAATTATCTTCCTTTTGGGAGAGATTCCATCGCATTACACTCTACCAAACCGAAGATTGATTCCTCTCTGAGTAGCAATAAGGTACCGAAAGAGAAGAGATAGTGTTGTTGTTGTTGATTGATCGAGAAATAAAGAATGGATGATGAAGTTGTTCAGCGAGTGTTTCATGAAGGAGGACGCGATTACTTCCAACAACAGCCTTCAACTTCTTCGTCTTCCTCTTCCATCCTTCAATCTCTCCCTCTCCATGTGGTATATATGTCATTATCATGCATCAACCTCGTCTTCAATTTTTCTTATTATTATTGCTTTCTCTTTTCTCGCTCATATTATAGCTTCTGCTTGCAATTTGGATGAACCGAGTTTGGTGAATGTGTATATCGCTTGGAAATTGTGTTTTTCCCCTCTTCTTCGTTTCTAGGGTTCGAAGCTTAATTTGATATAGGTTTTTGTCTTTTTTGGTTGTTAAACACTAGCTAATTTTAGGAGTCGATACAATAGCTGAAAAATAAATTTGATATCCTTTTTATGTAATCACTTCACTCTCATCTTATTTACATGAGAGAGAGTTTATATTTTGCAGTTTGAATGGTATTGTTGTTTTTAATGTATGTTGAATTATTACATATCGATGAGCACACCTAACAGCTGAGTAGTAAAATTTATTTCCGTTGTGATAATCAGTTCACTATTATCTTAAAATCGTGTATTTGTTTGTGTGTGACTGTGAGTTGTCTCAAACTTAATATTTTGCAGTTTGAATGGTATTGCTATCCTTACATATTAAACTTTTTCACGATTAATTGTGGTAATTAATGCTAATATGTGATGAAATGGTGCAGTCTTTTGATCATGGATATTATTTGTTGGTAAAATCTATCCAAGAACTCCGAGAGAAAAAGGATGGCCTTGTTAGTATTGGCATTGGTGGTCCAAGTGGATCTGGTAAAACAAGGTAAGGTACCGATAGTGTTGTCAATGCCATTATTTTGAATGTTTTTTGTTGAAGTGAGGTGTATGCTGCTGTCTTAGTTTTACCTTATTTGTTTTTTGGATTTCGTGGTTCCTGAAGCTTAGCAGAAAAGGTAGCATCTGTTATTGGTTGTACTGTTATATCAATGGAGAACTATCGTGATGGAGTTGATGAAGGGAATGATCTAGACTCTATAGATTTTGATACCCTGATCAAGAATCTTGAGGTTTGCATTTGCTTCTCTATTACTTTACCATGTCTAAAATACTGGTCTGGCTTTATCTTACAAGGTCCTGATGTGTTTGCAAGACTGACCTATACTAATCCCTTAAATTTTATGCCTTACTTTTTGGCCTTTTCTAGCTCTACAGTATGTTGTATTGGTAATATGCAGCATTTCTGAGATTTGATTCTGATCAAAACTAGCCACCAAAAGCTAAATTGCAAAAGAAAAATAGTAGCCACAGATTTATCATGCTAGACTATTGGTGAAGTAGTTATTTGCTTGTGTTTCTTTTGGACTAAAACAAATTAGATTTTGAGTCAATTTAAAATGTACTGTTTAGGACTAGCTTATGTTTTTTTTAATTTTATTTATTTATTTTTTATAAGAAATGCTAATGAGTCTTATGTGTTGCTCTGGGATTTTTTTTCTTATTATTTTATACTTTGTTAACTAGCTTCTCTGTTTCAATTAGGATTTGACTAAAGGCAATGATACATTAATCCCAGAGTTTGACTATCAGCTAAAAAGGCGTGTTGGTTATAAAGCAATAAAGAGCACTTCATCTGGGGTGGTAAGCGAAGCTAATTGCAGTTTTGGTGGAGTTCTATGTTTTTACTTATTTATTTTTCTACAATTGGTTTCAGGTAATAGTTGATGGCACATATGCATTGCATGCAAAATTGCGGTCTTTACTGGATATTCGAGTTGCTGTGGTAATTTTGTTTTCTTTTCTCTTTTCTTAATATTGCAATAATTTTATGCCCTTCAATATGTTATATTGCTTATAAGTTTCAAAATAATACAGAGCATGCATTTTTGATAAATCAGGTTGGTGGAGTTCATTTTAGTCTGCTTTCTAAAGTTCGCTACGATATTGGAGATTCTTGTTCACTGGATTACCTTATAGATAGCATTTTCCCATTATTTAGGAAAGACATTGAGCCAGATCTTCATCATGCGCAGGTTGGTCATGTTCATATTCTCACATCTAAATTTCACTGCTAATTCTTTTGTTTTCTCTGCCCTGTTTTGGCAGATCAGAATTAATAACAGCTTTGTCTCATCATTCAGAGAGGCAATCTACAAGGTTAAATGCAGAAGTGAGGTGTGTCATTACATTAGTACTAAATTACTAATTGATGTATTGTCCTGTATGTGAGTTTATTTTTCTGATTAGTTGTCTTGTCTATTAGTAAGGTGCAAACAAGTCTCTCTAGAAAAAATGAGCACTTGAAGTTCAAGCTTGGCTTGTGATAAAGGATTGTTCATGCTTAACTCATTTATTTATATGAGCTATAAATTAAAAGCTTGATCTTGGCCTGTTTATAATTATGAATTCTATGCTTGACTCATTTATGAATTTAATATTTTTTCCTTCATCAAATTTCTTCTTGAATTACTTTTTAATTTTATCAAATATTAAGGGAGATGGTATTTTTTTATATATTTATTTTTGTGTGTGTGTGTTGGAATTGGCGTACAAATTCTTAAGTTTTTAACTTTCAAATTTTGTGACAGTCTTCAGATGATTCTGGTTCTGCTTTTCAAGGAAATGAAGCCCAGACAGATAAGTTAGTATTTTGGTTGTGGAAGGAATACATGTTTGGTGGTGACTAGTGTATTTTATCTTTTTTCTTACTACAGTTCTAATTTGTAAAATTTAAAATACATCTACTGAAAAATTCTCTTGCTTTCAGTTTTATTGAAATGTACCTTAGACCACCTTCAGCAAGTGAAGAAGCAAGGATAAATGATTGGATCAAAGTGCGACAGTCTGGGATTAGATATTATTTATCACTTGGTGACCAGAGGATTGTTGACAAGAATTTCATTATCAGGCCTAAAGCTGAATTTGAGGTATGAATATTTTCCATTTCTTTTTCATCTTGTTCTTTTCCTTTAGTTTGAACCTGCTGATTACAACAAAAATGCCCTTCAAGCTTAGTAGGCCACATTGAAATAGTTAGCATTTGACTTGCTAAACATCTTTCCTGTGCCTATCCCATCACTTAGATGCCGTCCCTTTCAGTAATGCTAGATTGCTAGCAAGTTGGAACTTTTAAAGGCATAAGTTGGCATCCTTCCTAGATAACATTATTAAGTTTGGATAGGTTCATAATCAAATGAAATTTAGAATTACAGTGTAGAAGTTGTATATTGTGCTTTTTTTATTTATCTTAATTATAATATTGGATGTTTGAGGAATGGTTTCAATATTTTTGATTTCTAGATAAACCCGAGGCTACAGCATAATTTTTTGTGGGTTTGACTTTGACACACACACACACACACACACACATATATTTCAAGTTCATGTCTTACTTTTTGGGCTTGGAAGGGAGCTTGCAAGAGATGTGACTGGTATTGCACAATAGGGATTAGAACTGGCTTCTGTCGACATATCAATGTTTATATTTTGAGAATGACTGCAGTTTGAACGATCAGGACAAGAGAAACATCATTGTATATGCTGGAAATAGGAAGATTTTAGGAGATAATAACTCATAGTTGGTATAACTAGGTTCAATGCATCATAGGAAGTAGTGGTATCTTAATTTTTCTCTTGTAAATTGTTATGGCATTAATTATCTTTGTAATTCTCTTGTATATAAATAAACTCATTCTGGTGGGTGGTATTATCACTAAGCATATTCAGAAAATGAGATCTGTGTTTCTTTCTTTTAACAGTATATCATTGTTGTATTAGAGGATAATTTTTTTTGTTGGGATGAAGTTATACAGGAATTCAGAAAATGCAGTTTTGGAATTGAAGTGTTTTCTGTGTCTATATTTATGCTTTTTTTTTTTCCTCTTTAATGTTAAGCTTGATTAAAATATTTATTTATTTTTGACCAATGGAGTTGGGGCACTTTGTACCTCTATTAAAAATAAAGTAAAAAATAAAATTAAGTAATAAAAGTATGTTGGTTTAACTGGTGTTGTGGTTTGTCCTTGAGCCCTAAGGTCTTCAATTCAAGTCTTGGATTTGAGAAAAATGTTAGTTTTAATAATAAAAGGATATAATGGTCTACCAAGTGTGGAGACCAAGATGGTTACTAAAAAGGGTATCCCCTTTATATATAGTATAGATATAGATTCCTCTTCTGTGTGCTCTTTGCACACTGCTAATGTACTTTGATTATGCCTCGTTTAGCATTTTCTTTTGTTTAACTTGTTATCCATTAAGAAAAGACAACCTACTCGTTTTTAGCAGATTTTTGTTTGCTTATGATTTTAATATTGGGACAGGTTGGTCGAATGACATTGGGTGGATTATTGGCTCTTGGGTACACTGTTGTGGTTAGTTATAAACGTGCATCCACTACTGTCAATAATGGGAAGGTTTCGTTGTCTTTTGAAACCATTGATGTTCTTGGCGAGACATTCATGGTGATGAGAGGAACTAATAGAAAAGTAAGTACTTTTTTCTTATCACACTAGATTATGTTTCATTTAATATCCAATCTTCTTGACTGCATTTACTCATCATTTTTAAGGTTTATTCATCAGTCATAATGTTGATTTTATGCAAATATTCTTATTGTATATTTCATTCCCTTCGTCCCAAATTAACTGCAGTTTTAACATTTGAAAATTGTCTCAAAATAATTAGTGTTCTCACTCTTCAATGTAATATTAATTACTTTTTTTTTTCTTCTAATTTGCCTCTTCATTAATTATTCAACTACCATTATAAAAAGTAATGCTTTTATTGAGAGAGTGAGATTATTTTAGTAAAAATGTATCAAAAGTGAAACATCTATTGTTATTTTTAATTTGTGTGTAGGGACCTTAAAATGTAGTCATTGTGGGAAAGAGGGAGTATAAATAAGGGTTAAAGCTTTGTATCACGTTAAAAATTCCTTGTTTTCTTCTCAGTTTTGGGAAGGTTTCTGATTGTCACACACTGAACCTTTTCATTTATTTATTTTTTAATTTCTTTTATGGAAACCTTTCCTTGGTCCCCACTGAGTTTGTTTGTTTTATTTTCTCCCATTTTATATTGAATAGTGCTTATTGTTTTCCATGTTCATTGCTTTCTGCTCACTCTGATTAACCCTTTTGTGGTTGATAATATGCTGAGTTACTTATCTTAAAGATGGAAAAAAAATAATCATTCTGCAGACTGTTGGAACAGAAGCATTAAGGATGGGTATAAATGGACCTTGGATTACTAAATCATATCTGGAAATGATTCTTGAAAGAAAAGGTAGGGATTTGGATGCTCTATCCCCTTAATACAGTTTATGCACATTTCAGTTATTTTTCTTACATATGATGATGACTGCTACAATAGGAAAATTTGTTTGATTTGAAAGTGAGGACAACATTTGGTCAATTAGCTTCACGATGACTCAAATTGATTATCTTAATTATCAAGATTAATTTGAAAATAATTTCCTTATGTTGCATTGACCTGTATAAATAATGAATAGTGCAATTGTTGTTTCTTTTCACTTTCACTTGCAGGTGTACCTCGACTTAGTACACCACCACTTGTGTCTAATGCAACTGTAGCTGGTAGTCAAGAAACAGTGATCATTGCACCAAAGCCAATCCGTGTTACTCCTGACCTTGGTACTGGGATTGATGATTTATCTCAGCCGTGGACTCGATCCCCAACAAAATCTAAAATGGAACCTGTTGTGGCTACATGGCATTTCATATCTTCAGATTCCTCCCAGCCTGACAACTCAGTCCTAGGTATTTTTCCTTGAATTGGAGGATGTAGCTAATTTTGGAGATAATTTCCTGCATGCTTACTTGAGATTTCCTTTATATTAAGACTTCTCTCATGAAGCAACCACAGATCCTTCATCTTTCAGGGATAGTATTAGGCTTGCTCCAATGCCTGATTCATATGACTTGGATAGGGGATTGCTTTTGGCAGTTCAAGCAATACAAGTAAGGAGCAGAAGCTTGGAAATTTCTTTTGTGCCTCATGATTTGAAGATAACTATTCCATAGGAAATTCATATTTATATGTTTGATGGGATCCTATCTTTTATTTTTCTTTGTTCCAGGCATTGTTGGAGAATAAAGGTGTCCCAGTCATAGTTGGAATTGGTAATATGATCATTTCTTGATACCTCATCCTCCTTCCTTTGTGTGTTGTAGCGTTGTGTCTCTCTTCATTTACCTGGATTGATTTCACCTGTCTCCATTTCATGTTGGAATGGGATCTGTAGTCAAGAAAACATGCGCACAGAACTCCGCCATTAAGTTTTATCTTTCATATATTAAAAAGTTAATAAAATGTTAGCACAAAAATATTTAAGCCATTGGATCTTGAATGTTTCCTGCAGTCATTTTGCTGACTGCGGGTCCCTTCTATTAGAAAATGACGTTTGGTTAAAAATTAATGCTGTGTCTCCTGATTGTTAAGTATTTTTGCTGATGTATCTTTTTTTATTTATCTGGGGAGATAGGGAAGGAGACAGATGAACTAGTTCCCATTTACCTATGCAGACTTGCTCCCTGCACATTGCTGTCTTTCTTTGCCACATGAAACCAAGTATACAACTAGCTGTATCACAAACAAATCTAACAACAAATGTGATAATATTTAATTATAACTTTATGGGAAAAAAAGTCCATAAAAGGAGGCATTTCAAAACAAATGGAATATTATTTTAGGTGAAAGCCCTGTAAATAGCCAGTTAATAGTATATGGTTAATTTAGGTATTATGGTGTTAAAATACCAGGTTGGTTCTTCAAATGCTTGCTGATTAAGCTGGAAGCTAATCGAGCTGAAACAAGATAGGCCTATCTCAAACTTAGCTTAATAATAAATCAAGCCCATTTTCTTGGCTCTAGATCTACTCACCTTAAGCACACAAGCTCCTCAGTTTAATATGCCAATATTGAGCCTTTTGTTAATCTGATATTTTAGGCTCAATGATTTCAGTGAATTTGGGCTTGAAATTCTACGGAGCCTCTTTTTTCTTCTGCTTTTCTTTTGTTTGCTGATTTACTGAATTTTGCTGAATCAGTTTTCCTTCATCTCAAAGGCTGTAGTTCTGGAAGCATGCATATAACATCTGTAGTTTTGAAAAAAACACTGATCCTGAGGAAGTTGTGCTTTTCAGGAGGTCCAAGTGGCTCTGGAAAGACTAGTTTGGCTCATAAAATGGCAAATATAATTGGTTGTGAAGTAGTTTCCCTGGAAAGCTATTATAAACAAGTAAAGGATTTTAAATATGATGACTTCAGTGCACTTGATTTATCTTTGCTATCAAAGGTAAGGCAATTGAAATATTGACTTGTTTAGATGTAGTGGATTGGGTTACTCAGCATGATAATTATTTGATGTTGCACCTTCATATATAACTTCTTGTGTACACTGATTTCTGTATATAAATGGATTTATTTCTTCTGAGAAATGAACATTTTATACTTTTTTAACACGATCATGTCAATTTGGTGTCACAACCTTTGGTTCCCATTAATCCCTCCCTTTCCTGGTTTGAACTTTGAAGTAATGAACTAGTTAATATGAGTTAGAAGATGTAAACTTTTTCAAGGTTTGGGACAACCTTGGTCAGACTTAATCTAGTTAAGAGTTTAGAGTGTATAATTTGACAGAGAGGCACCTTCTGTCTATTGCTTCAAAATTCTTATCCCCTATCCCGAATGATGTGGCAATCCAACTCTGTACCAAAATGCCATCAATTAAATCTAAACTGCTGTATTTAAGGATTTTGAAGTCAAGGAAATATCTATATTTTTGTTTTAAATTTGTTTTTGGTTTTGAATATTTTTCTCATTTATTTTATAATTGTAAAAATGTGTAACTTTTAAGTATTTGATTGATGACTTGGCAATGTTGATTTGGAGTACCACATCATTGGCGATAACTGATAAGCATTTTAGTAATGGCCTTCAGGATGGTTGCATTTCACCGATAAAAATTATGCCACTAGAAGGGACCAGCTAGTTGTATGGATATAAATTTTGGTCCCTATTTGCTATCATCATTCTTCAATCATAACTACAACAATTAAGCCTTATATCACTAGAAGGGACCAGCTATATGGATAAAAAATTTACAGTGTTCTATCAAGAATCAAAATTCTGATAAATTTGAGTATGAAAATGTTATTGTGGTCCAAAGGCTCTATTTTCCATCTAGAAAGCACAACTATGACACGAACCAGGGATACAATTCGGCATGAGGATATGACAAATGTGAAGGTTATATCATGCAACAGAGTTATTGTACAATATATATTAAATAAACATAATAACTCATCTTATATTAAAAGAGGAAATTGACATTTTAAAAATTAGCACAGTTCATTGTAGACATAGTAAAATGCTATCCACTAATTATTGTGATATTCCAATCTTTCTTGATATAGTAGTTCAAAAATTCGAAGTTAAGATTAAAAAAAGCTGCTAGGACCTAGGAGTGTCTGAAGTGTCTAAGATGGATGTGTCTGACATGGGTATGGGATAAAAAGAGATAGAGAGGGAGAAGAAAGAGAGAAGGGACAGGAGAGAAGGAGGTAAGAGAGAAAAGAGAGGAGGAAGAAAGAAAGGAGAGAGAGTGACAGAGAAAAAGAGAGAGTAGACAGAAAGAGAAAGGAAAGGAGAGGAGTGAGAGAGAGAGAGAGAGATGAGAGATATAGAGATGAGACAAGAAAGATAAAGTAAGTATGAAGAATTTCAAATTATTATTTTTTTGGAAGATTTTTTTTTCTGTAACTTTAATTTAATCAAAACACTTTTATAAATTACTAGAATTTTAATCTTTCCAAATTCCCTATCTAAACAAAATATTTTAGCAAAAGGCATTTTAAATTTACTAAAAAAATGAATTACCCTCTTTAAATTCCTCATTCAAACACAGTATATTAGAGTTTAAAAATGTCATTATGGTTTGGGGGCTATATTTGCCATGGTCCAAAAACTTTATGGACCTTTAATTGATTCCAGCTGCAAAGTTTGTTGGTAATGACTAGTTCCCTAGTTGTTTCTTGAAACAGTTAAAATATGAATAGTTTTGCATTATTGTAAAATTCTTTATTTCTTTGCTTTCTCCATTCCGTTTCTCAAATAAGATGCTGGTAGTGTCTCTATTTACCAAAAAAGGATGATGGTAATATCTCTTTGCTTTGGTTAGTCAAAGCTTCTGGATATTTGCAGTCATATTACTAATATGGATTATATAACATTCTCATTCTTGAGTTCCCTGCAGAATATTGATGACATAAGAAATGGTCAAAGAACAAAAGTGCCTATATTTGACTTGGAAAGTGGTGCTCGGAGTGGTTTCAAGGAACTTGAAGTTTCTGAAGATTGTGGTGTGGTCAGTTATTAAACTAGTGCCCCCAACACCTGAAATTTGTTGCCTCCATTATAACTTGTGAGATTTAATAAAATATCCTAAAGTTGAAAAGACAATTTCTTCATTGCATTTTATTTTTACAAACCCTATGAGAACTTTTATTAGTAGATTTTGAATTCAGTGCTGATTTAAGTATTAAAATGGTAATTGATTAATGCTGAACATGAGATATCCATTTAGGCTCTAGCTGTCGATAGTCAACCTTTTCAAATGCAAATACTTTTAGGTGTCAACTATGATTTTTTTTTTTAAATTTGTAAAAGCTCACTGGGCTTAAAGTTTGAACAAAATGCAAGCATGCTTACACCTTTTACTGATATTATATTTGAACTAGAAGAATGGGAAAACAAGAATTGAACTCCTAATCATTTGGCCAGAGAAGTTTTGATATCATGTCAGTGGAAAAGTTCCCCAAAAGATTAAACTATTAGGTGTAGGCCATGGAATGGTCTTAGCTCTAACATTTGTTTGATAGTATAATACCATGTTTGACCTGCCTATTTCTTTGAAGTAACCATGCTAATAGCTGCTCAGTAGTTTCCAAATGTTGTTTGGAGCTTAACCCTTCATAGCTTTGAGGCTATGATGCTATGGTAAAACTTCCTCCTTAGAATCAAATAAACATTGATCTGGTTAAGGAAGTAATTATACACCAAGATACCAACTGTAGTATGGTATGCTTGCTGCATCTTTGAAATCCCATGTCGCATTGAGTAGGGGATATAGCAATTGATTTGTTCCAGAAAGGGACTGTCTACACCCTACACACTTCACATCTAAAAATTTGTCTGTACCCACATTTTACTTGTTTCTATTTTTCATATAAATCAACGAGACTAGAAAAATGACATACAGATATGCATATAACTTGACATTATATATAGCTTGTCTGTATGCAGAATTCCTCATATAGTTGCTATTCATGTTAAGCTAGTTCTTTTTTCAAATTCTTCAATGTGGCTCTTGAGAGTCTTTGTTAATATTGACCAGATTATATTTGAAGGCGTCTTTGCTTTGCATCCTGATATTCGAATATCACTTGACTTGTGGATTGCTGTTGTAAGAATGAATCTCCATCCATCTTTGAAGGCCTTTTTCTGTTTCGTATATTTTTTATTTGTTATTGTTGGGGCTATGAAAGCCCCTCACTTCAATTTTCTTATTTGAAACAGGTTGGAGGTGTTCATTCACATTTGATTTCACGAGTTCAAAGAGATAAGAGTAAAGTGGGATGTTTTATTTCCCAAAATGAGATCATGATGACTGTGTTTCCTATGTTCCAACAGCTTATTGAACCTCATCTTGTTCATGCACATGTTAGTTGATAGTGTTCTTTCCCCATATATTTAAATTTTTAAATCTGCTTAGGAATTAATGATTAAGGTCTCGATGATTTTGGATTTAAGTGTTAATTGAACCATTAACAATTCTATAGCAATATAAAGATATTGTGTGTTGAATCATTCTATGAAAATACTGATTTATTCGTTATCAATGAAGAGCAAAATATAAGGATACAATGAATAAAATCCCTAAATGAGCTATACAATATTTCCAAGTTTCCCTCCAATAAGAACACAATAGTTAAAGACAGACTTCCTATTTGATGGTGATCCTACTCAATAAGCATCAGAGTAATAGACAATTTTAGAATTGCCTTTGTCTTCATATAATAGTCCGTGACCTTGTGTGTTTTTAATATATGAGGATGTGCATTACAACATCCCAATGGCATCACAGAGCAGTTAGGAATTGACTTACTATGTTTACTACAAAAGTAATATCTAGTCTAGTGATAGTAAGGTAATTGAGTCTACCAAGTCGTTGATAACTTCTTGGGTCTTCCAATTACTCCCTTTGGGGTCCATAGGAGTGTCTCTGGGACGACAATCAAACATATTGGTCTCAGACTCAGTGAGAATGTGAAAAGAATATTTCCTTTAGGAAATATCAATGTGAGAGGCAGGTTTAGCAACCTCAATGCCTAAAATGTATTTGAGTGCCCTAGGTCCTTTGTCTGAAACTGACTTTGAAGGTGAGATTTGATCGGGCACATACCATTGGAGTCATTACCAAATGAAAATGTCATCAACATAGTCATAACATAAATGCACAATCTAAACAGAGAGTGAAGGGAATATAATCAATATATAGAGTAAGGTGGAGCTAAACCAGGCATGAGGAGATTATTTCAGGCTATATAGAGAATGATGAAGGCGATAAAAAAGTCGATAGCCACTAGAAGTAGTAAAACCAGGGTGGCTGGTCTATATAAACATTTTTAGGCAACTCACCATGCAAGAGTGCATTTTAATATCCAATAGGTGAAGTAGCCATAGCAGGAAACAAATGAATAAAAGTGATTTTGGCCATAGGGTAAGAGGTGTCACCATAGTCTAGATCAAAGATTTGCTTATAGCCCTTTGCAACCAAGCTTGCTTCAAATCGATTAATGTTGCCATCCAGTCCAATCTTCACATTATAAACCCAACAACAACCAACAATAGTTTTGTTGGGTGGCAACGGAACTAACTTCTAGATTCCACTTGCCTATAAAGTAGTTGTTTCATCCAACATTGCTTGTTCTCGATGAGGATCAACCATCGATTCATCTATAGACTTAGGAATAGACACATAATCCAAAGAAGAGATAAAATAAAAATATGAAGGAGATAATTGGTCGTAGCGAATAGTACAAGCATATAAAGGGTGAGAATTGCAAGAGGAACAAATACCTATGCACATGACAATGCAAAGCTCATGTGCATGTGACTGGTGGAGGGACATTTGGACTAGGAGATGATGACTGGAGGATCAATGGATGGTACGCCCATGGAAGGTCGTGGTCGTCAATGATAGGTGATTAGTGGTAGTGGAACATCAACAATGACTAGGGCGAGAACATTTGGAACATCTAAGGGAGCATCGTCAACAATGAACGTAAAGAAAGACTATGAACCAAAATATGCAGTTTTTGCATACTAGTTTTTATTTTATCTTATTTTTTTATAAATGATTTTTTTATAAATGATTTTTTTTTTTTTTTTTTTTTTTTTTTTTTTTTTTATAATATGACATAAGGTATGCTATTACAAAGTATCAAATTTTTTTTCCAAACTAGGATGATTGAGAAGTTGATAGAAAAGATTTGGAGGCAATGGAGACACAAGAAACCAACAATAAGAATTGATACAATACTTGAGACTCATGTCCCGCACTAATCGTTCATCTTGTACACCAATCTCGAACAAGAGCACAATTATTAGCAAAATGGACAAAAATCAAGTGTGCTAGTGAGCTTGCTAATTGAAATTAAATTAAAAGGGAAACATAAACAAATTAGACAAAATTTAAAGGAAGATTAGGAAATGGGTGGGTTTTTCCAATGCCACAAACTTTGATTTGAGAGCCATCTCGGAGAGTAATAGGAGGCAATGAGTCTGAAAAGACAATTGAGAGAAAGAGATTGGTTACCAATCATGTGATTAAAGGCACCAAAATCAAGTATCCAAGGTTCAATTGAGGAAGAATGAGAGACAAAGGCTACAAGATTACCTAAGCCACAATAATAACAGGTGAGGCAAGTTGCTGGCTTGTTGGAAGGCTAAAACTAGAGGAACTCATTATACTCAGTGGTGTAAATAGTAACATCTGTAAGTGGGGCAAGTTTGGCCACATTGGCCGACTTCGACTGTTCCCTAACTTTGGTGCAACATTTTGCTTTGTTGTGCCTAGAGTGGTTACAATAATTGCAACAAGGACAACTTTTGCCTCTAAGACCCCCACTACATCCACCACAATGGGAAGAGTGAGAGATGAGTAGAGGAATCACCAAAAGGAGTAGAGGAATACTAGATACATTGCTTGTGAAAGGTCTCTGCATCACTTTTGAAAGGCATTAAACTAGAAAAATTAGCAATCAAATGTCTGAGCTTATCGAGATATGTCTGCATATCCATATTCTCTAACTTGATAGACATCTTAGTGTTCACCACACAGTAGAGACGATGGACATAATTGGAATAGACTTTCTTGATCTTGATCCAAATCTCATTATAGGTAGGAAATGCTTGGTATTGAGTTGAAGGTTGGGAGTAATAGAGAACCAGAGGACACTGCATAAAGAGGCGTTGGTTTGCTGCCTAAGGTCTTGATCCTTAGTGGGAATGTATGTGCCTTGAGTGGTCAAGTGATCAGCATGACCTTGATCGTGGAACCACAGTTGGACAGCTGCTGCCTAGGTATTGTAGATGGCAGTTCGGTCAACTTTTCACATGGGATCTGTGGAACATTGGTAAAAGTCACAGTAGAGCTGGAATTGGATGGAGAACAGTGAGATGCCATGAAAAAGAGAGCCAAACAGGATTGGTGAAGGAAAGGGAGCACAGAGGAGTGGTCACTGGATAGGGCATCACACACTGTTCTGGTGCAGGAGCATGAAACTTACATGCTGGAGAGTAGTGGTGTGTGCAGTTATGTGAATGGGAGGAGATTGGAGGGGCACACAGGTGAAAGGGCGGTGCGGTGGCTTCCCATGCAGTGGTTGTGGGTACCATTGACCCTAAAAAAAATGGGCCCTGCAGATATCGAATCTAATCTTAATACCATATAGAAATATACAGAAACTGTTTCTAATCATCACACACATGCTGATTTATTTATAATCAGTGAAGAGCAAAAGAGAAGGATAGGATGAATGAAATCCCTAAATCAAAACTATACAATATTTCCATGTTTCCCTATTTACATAAAATCAAGTCAGATCTTTAACAGATTCCATATAAACAAGAACAACACTTCGTTACCTTTCATATTGCTCTCTAACTATGCCTACTTTACAATAATATGTAATTCTGTTAATCTGAAGAAATACTTTGGTTTCATCCATGATTGCTGACACTAATAACAATATAAAACTTGGTTATTTTAGTTGATACTTTTAGTCCTCCCTTTCTATTTTCTGTGCAGCATTGTCTCGGTTTTCTTTTTATTGTAGTGAATAGTTACTTTTGGAGAATAGAAGGATATATGATACATCATCATTTAATGTTGACTTGCAGCTTAAAATTCGAAATGACTTTGACCCTGTGCTTTCTCCTGAGAGTTCATTATTTGTATTAAAGAGTAACAAAAAAGTAAGAGGTTTATCTTACTTATTTATATATATATTATATATGACAAGGTTTTGTTCAAAATGTTTACTGAAGATAGCAATAAATAACAGGTAGCATATCAAGATATTGTTTCAATTCTTGATCCAGCAAAATTTTGCAGTTCAGTGCAGAAATTTATTGATATTTATATAAGGCTCCCTGGGATCCCTTCTAATGGGCAATTGAGAGATAGTGATTGTATTCGAGTCAGAATATGTGAAGGCAGATTTGCATTGCTGATACGAGAGGTTGGGAATATTTTCTCTTCCCATTATTTGCTTGCTGATACCTTAACACAATTATACACAAACACATAGTTACTGTCATTTTGATGATTTATTTTATTTGAAACATTTCTTGTTATCTTGTACATGTCAGCCTATCAAAGAAGGGAACTTTATCATTCAGCCTAAAGTGGATTTTGATATAAGCATTAGTACGGTTGCTGGTCTTCTTAATCTTGGGTAAGCCACAATGCAAAAAGATATTCTTACCCATTTGTAGATCTTCACTAAACATACAACTATGTTTGATGGATTAAGATGTGATGTTCATTAATTGTGTGAGCATTATGTGCTAGTAGAATAACATCTTAAGTTGTGTCAAACTGCTATTGGTTGAGGAGCAGCCAATAGTATACTTTAGTACATGTAGACATCTTGTTGGTAAACTCAACTATCTTACAGTAACTAGACCAGATGTTACTTTTGTTCTGTGGTAAGTTTCTAAATGCTCTTTGTGATGATGATCATTAGGATGTTGTGGTTTGTAATGTAAGCTACATCAAGAGTGTAGCACTAAAGGGTTACTTTATGATAATAAAGGCAATGCTGAAATTGTTGGTTATTTTGATGCTGATTCGAGCAGGTTCATCATTAACTAGAAGATCAACTTTAGGATATTGTGGGTTTGTTCGGAAAAAGTCTCATGGAGTAGAAAGAAGCAAAACATTGTTGCTAGATTAAGTGTAGAGGCAGAGTACCACCCTGTGATTGCAGCAACCTGTTAACTTGTGTCACTAAAGTTGCTTTTGTAGCTTTAATTGAGAGATGTCAAGCCATGAAATTACCTTGTGAAAATATGCTACTCTTCATTTTGCTTCCAGCATAACTTTTCATGAAACGACCAAACATGTAGAAACTGGGTATCATTTTATTAAAGAAAGTGTTTTTTCATGTGATTGGCTTTGTCAATTTTGACTATCAGTTAACAAATATGTTGACTAAATTCCTCAAGAGAACCTCACGTCAACTTTTTTCGTAACAAGCTTTTTGCATGATATATATGCTCCACCTTGAGGGAGAGTGTGGATTAAGCAAATGCTTCATATGCTTCACAAGTACATTGCATTATTTCTTCAACTTACTATTGAGTCTATTTGAATAAATTTTTCTAAAAACACTTAAAGGAGGGGGAAAATAAGAAAACAAAGAAGTTAGCTTCTCTATAAGCTAAAATTAACTTATACACAAGTTTAAAAACATTTTGGAGAAACTAATATGAGAGGGCTTCTACAAATTAGCTTATGCATAAATTAATTTTAGCTTTTGGAAAAACTTATTTCATTTTTATTGCATATTTTCTTCTTGTAAAAGTACTTTTAGAGAAGTTCATCCAATCAGACTCATTATATTTTGTAGCATATAAGAATTAGTGCCTATAAATAGTTATAATTAATGCACTTGTGTACTATTCTTGTATATAGGTCTGATTAGATGTGTGGTATCACACAATTCTTGAAAACCATCTTTCACTCGATCACTTTTTTTCTTGATTTGTTTGATAATTAGAGTATTTATGAATCATCATGATTTATTGATTGATAGTACTTTCTGTCAGGTATCAAGCAGTTGCTTATATTGAAGCGTCTGCATTCATCTATCAAGATGGAAAGGTCACATGATTTATCTTATGACTTATATTTTGATTGCAATTATGTGTTTCCGTTAATTAGCTGATAGAAATTACAAGGCTGAGATGAACTTGTTCCTGATTTCCTTTTCTCCTGGTTCCCCGCTTTCCTAAACTTAAACTTGGCTGATCTTTGCACTATGGGGATTCAAATTGTTTTTTAACAACTGAGGGTTTTGTGACAATTAATCTATAAGTTTATTTGATCATCATTCTTTTATAATAGAACTGGGTTTTAATATAACACTTTATTGTCATAAAACCAGTTTTAAGGAGAGGTGCAAGATTCAGAGGGATAACCCTAATTACAACAGAATGGTTATAGCAGTTAGACCTCTATATAAATGCTATGACTGAACAATGACCCTTGTTCCCTTATTTTTGGTGCCCGAGTAGAAATAACTAATTACTTTGGGATTTCCTAATTGTTTAGTAGTAATACCATGCTGCATTGTTTAGCATAATTATCAAAATTGATATATTCACCATGCTCTCACTACTTGATGGTGAGAACTTAGGATTTTAACCTAAAAATTTACAAATGTGTCTGTATGAGTGGTTAATAGTGTGATGAGGTTATTGAAATGTCTAATGGTAGTTTAGAATAAATGAATGTGTATGCAATTATCAATCTGTACTTGCAGCACTAACAATGTTGTCAAATATCCGTTATAACCCCGTTATAACGGAAAAACGTCACGGTTTGAACCTAAACCGCCATTCGCCATCCGTTATATGAAGGTTTATGGCGGTTTCTGCCATTTCCGATATGGCGCCCGCCATGGTCATGCCGCCGTGAAGGTTTATGACGGCCATGGCGGTCATGTCGGTTTTTTTAAAAAAAAAACCTATTTTTGGGCTTTGAAACAGGCCCAAATGGAGTGAGCCCTAAGTTTTTGGCTTGTCTCCGTGTCTCGTCTCTCTTCTCCCTCACAGTCGCGACTTTCTGCACTTGAAGAGGAGTGAACCCTAAACATCTCCGGTCACCTTTGTTCAACTCCAATCACTGCACTCCGGTCACCTTTGCCACCGACCACCTGAACCGCGGCGGCCCAACACTCCGGCCAGCAACCACGAAGTGCCAACAACACTTACGGAAGTTGAAACCGCCCCTAATCACCTTCGTTCACCGCCCCTTTGTCCCCTTTCTGGCCGGCGACCTGAACCGTGGTGGCCCAGTACTCTGGCGAGCTACTCCGGCGAGCAACTCTGGCGAAACTAGGTTTTTTTTTTTCAGTTTTAATCCTACTTTTTTTTTCAGTTTTTATCTTCCTCCTACTTTTATTTTTTCAGTTTTAATCCTCCTCCTCCTTTTATTTTTTCAGTTTTAATCCTCCTGTTTTTTTCATTTTTTTTTTCAGTTATAATCCTCCTTTTAATTTTTCCTACTCCTTTGAGTCCTTTGTTAATGAATTCATTGTTGCATCTGCAGCAAGCAACAATTTTTTTAATCCCAATTCTTCTACCAATTGGGTCAATTTAAATTCCTATTTTCTTCTAAATTCTAAACTAACATTGAGTGCCTATTTTATTATTGTTCTTTTTCTTATTTTTAGGACAATGTCTAGCAATCCAATTCCAAGCCAAAGTCAAACATCCTCAAACTCTGTTAGGAGAACAGACATAGGATGGAAACATTGTCATCCTACCAAAGAGAATGATACCAATGAAACTATCTGCAATTATTGTAAAAAAATCATGAAAGGGGGAATTACAAGAGCAAAGCAACATTTAATCAATTATGTTATGAGACTTGATGAATTATGCTATTGTTGTTATGATATTTAAGTATTTAAGTTGATATTATGTTGGTTTTAATTTAGTTTTGTTGCTTGTTATTTATTGTTTTGCTGTTTTCTTTGTATAAAATATATATAAATATTTTCTTTATTTTTATTTTTTTGTCCGCCATGACTTCCGCCATAGGCCGCCATGGCATCCGCCAATAGAGTTATAAAGGATTTTTGGCCTCGCAGCCATAGACCGTTATCCGCCATTGATAACCTTGAGCACTAATAGCTCAATATACGTTACCAGTTGTTATCGGTGTCTGATGTTATTAAAATGTCTAATGGTGGTAACTGTGCCTTAAAAGTAGTTAACTGTTCTAGTGAATACGGGGTGGACAATGCCCAAAGAGATGATTATGATTTTTCATTGGAATAATTTATTTATAGTTGTTTCTAACTAGCATTTTTTTTTCTGCGGTAGATTCTAATTGAGGTTGATCATCTACAAGATGTCCCTGGCCCTTACATTCAGATAAAGGGTGTTAATAAAGATGCAGTGGAAGCAGCAGGTTCAATGCTTAAATTGGATGGTTCGTATACTACTAAGGTATTGATTTTCTTGCTTTATTGCAGTTCATCTTTTGTCCCCGGTGCATATTGCAGGTTCTGGATTAATTATGTCATGCATGTCTAGATGGTGCTTACATTGCTTACTATTGTTCTTGTTTGTTATTTTGTAGAGTTATCTTGAAATAATTTTGGAAAGACTACCAGCATTAGAAAGAACTTCTGGTGGAATTCATTCTCAGCAATCAGCAAGGCTGCTAGAGATTGTTGAATTTATTCAATCTCAGGTAGTTTATTCTTTGGACCATTATTAGCTGGTTTGTTTATGGCTTCAACAACTACTAGGCATTTATTTCAAGTATTTAAGTTTGTTGAAATTATAGGGATGTAGGTAAATGAGTAGGAAAAGAGCGTGAGTCCGTGAATAATATTCTCATGTATTTTGATGTGATGCAAAAGATAAACCATAAACTCTTACTTACAGTTATCCTAGAATAAAGGAGGAAACTAATTTTGAAATATAAAGAAATATGGAAATTATTCCTAAGAGATCTCTAAGATATTCTAAATATTATCATGATATTATGAGATATCCTCTAGATATTCTAACATACCCTCAAGCTTAACCTTTCTAAGCTAAGCTTGTTATTAATGAACCTTTGAAAAGGAAAAAAATAACCAACACTAATATGGGCTTCACAAAACATGGCTGGAAAGGCAAGTTAGGATGCTGGAGATGTTGGATTATTATGCCTTGCCAACGAAAAAAACTAATCAAGATGGGTAGGTAGAATGATCAACAAATTAAAGTTAGTTGGAATCTTTACATGACCAAGAAAGAGATTTTCACAGCGATGATCATTAGTGGAAATTCCTTCCAAGTTCCAAGAAATTATGCATGGGAGGAAATGAAAATTCTCCAAGTTTGTCAATAACTGTTGTAAAGTTGCCTCAATTCTTGGCTAGTCTTAATTTTGGCCTCTTTGAAGCACCTTACTGTGTTGAGTGTGAGTGTGTTTAGCCTCACATCAACTAGAGATATAACTAATTTAGTCATCATAAAGTTTGGATAATATTTACCTTATAAGTTGATTTTGTATAATTAAGTTAGATCTTAAACTCAAATTTTAATATGATATCAGATCTCATCCTGGGTCTATTTTAATCTGATTTATTCTAATAAACTAAGATCACCTACTTATATACCCCTTTATAATTATATTATGCATATTGGAATAGGGTTATGATTAATGTAGTGCTGGGATTCATCACCCAACGTCCACCATCACACGTTGTTAATCTCGTGTTTAAATATAATTAATTCACTTGACCTGATTTCCTAAACTAGTAGCACCTGCGTATCAACCCCTTACTATTCGATACATCAATGTCATGGTAAAGCTATGCAAACCTGCACATTTTTAAAGCTACTGCATTCTTGAATGCACGGAAACTTTTTCGCATTTTTAAAGCATATTTTGTCATTTTTTTAAGCATTGGCATTTATTGGTATTATGTTGAAACAAACAGGGATGTAGCTCTGCTTCAGAGTCCTCATCAAGTAGGGTAGTCTCTCCAATTGAAGGGATTATTGAGGAGATGCAATCAAGGATTAGAAGGCTTGAAAGATGGTTAGCTATAAATACGGTACCCAAAGCCTATTCCAAAGTGCTTGCTGATTTATTTTTATTTGAATTCACTGTAGTTATCTTGTTTTAATCATTATTATTTATTTATTTATTTTTATTTTGATACTGTGGGCAGGTTCTATGGACATTTCTTATGTCTGCCCTTGTTGGTTATTCACTTTATCAAAGGCGGCGTCAATAATTTTCTTGGGAAATTTTCAGGATCATGCATTGGTGTTCTTGTTTAGTTACCTCCATTTACCGGGCCCAATTTTTTAACCGGCGAATCCAAAAGCTCACTACAGTCTACAGCCACTAATCCCTCGAGTGTAGGTTCCGTTTAGGATACATTGCGGCTCATCAATTTCAAAGGTTAATTCTTGATTAATCCATTTGTAAATGATTTGGTGACAAAAATAGTTTGAGATATGCAGCCACCACTCAATTAAAGTTGTAAACAATATAAGTATTAGACTCAACACACCTGAAGACGTTAACGACCGCAAGCAATAGAATGGATGGATATTCAGCGAACGACTTTGCTGGTATTTGGAGGCTGATTGTAGTTGGTTCCAGGGATCAATGTTTGCTCCAAAATTAATGAGCCATCTAAGTACAATCATATATGAATGGTGATTGGTCAAGAATAACGGCACGTAGTCACTTAAGTCATTTTTTTTTATGAAAATAATCATTAAGTAAATTTGAGAATCTAAATGACATTCAGGCCGATTTTACTCCTAAGATTGGGTATACGCTTACTAAGTGTATTCAAAATTGACCTAACGCAAGTAAAGAGGGCAAGGTTATTTTCTATTTTATTATTATTAACGAGATTTCTGCTATTTCAGTTTGTCGTAGCTGCATGAAATAATGGGCCGATAAAGCCGAATGTCACATAAGATCCTTCGTTTTTAAAATATTTGCTTCAATGCACTTTGTTTTTGGTTATAATTGAAATATGTTGAAATTAATAAACTATTTCCCCATGTGATGTTAATTTGATAAAAATTGCATAACGGGAGTAAATTACGGGGAAGCAACCAACACCAATGAAACTACATTTGAGAAAATCTTTTTAATAAAAATCCTTTTTTTAAAGATAAGTTGTAGTATATGATGTAATTCATTCTTTATAAAGTAATTTATTATTCTTGATTCTTTATTGTGTTCTTAATGCTTTCAACATTGTCCTACATTTGAGAAGTCTAAGGCATTACGTGAAGGAATTGAAACTACATTTTAAGCCTATATGCTACATACTTTACATAATTCTAAAAATCGGATATGATTAACGTACATTTTATGAAAAAAGATATCATCTGCATCATTTCAATATATGTATTTTTGCACTTAATAAAAAAATAGGAAATAATTTACCATCAAGAATATAATAAAATGTTGAATAAGAAATACTTTTACGCCATGAAATCTTAATTTCTATTTGAATCCTTTATCAAAGTTTGGTAATCAGTAATCAAATTGCATATATTTATTACTTTATGAGTTATTACTACACCTGTGCCCTCGTGTATTTCTTAACATGAAAGCTATATAACAAAAAACATCAGAATATCGAACAAATGTCAAGCAAGCAATGAATGATAGCTCGCTCAATTCTACTTGGAAGCATTGTACGAAACATGTAACGCAACGATACAATCCATGGTACAAGGCATTTTAGAGAGAGGGTCGTGTCCTAGAACTGTTCCTAAAGATGTCAATATGAAAAATTATTAGTGAACCTCTCAAATGATGAAAATGCATCAAAATTAAGCAATAGCATTAACAAAGATGCTAAATGAATAAGCTAGATGAAGTTCCAAGACCTTAGAGGAATTGGAAATTTTCTCATCATTATCCAGAGGATCAAATCTTGGGTGATAAAGTTGAAGGAGTAAAGACTAGTTCTACTTTACGGGACCTCGCCTCTTATACATTAGTTTTTGAGATTGAATCAAAGGGCATAAACGAAACCCTGTAGACAACGATTGGATCCTTACCATGGAGGATAAACTTCATCAATTTGAGAGGAACAACATCTAGACGTTTGTGCCAAAGCCAGACTATCAAACTGTCATAAAAACTCGATGGGTCTTTAGAAACAAATTGAACGAGGAAGGTAAAGTGGTCAGAAACAAAGCTAGATTAGTAGCCCAAGGTTACAATTAGCAAGAAGGTATTGACTTTACTGAAACTTTTGTCCCTATTTCCAGACTTAAAGCTATACAAATTACATTGGCTTTTGCAGCTCATAAAAACATAAAACTTTTTCAAATGGATGTAAAGAATGCATTTTTAAATGGTTTTATTGAAGTGGAAGTTTATGTTAAACAACCTCCTAGTTTTGAACATCCAAAATTCAAAGATCATGTGTTTAAACTACAAAAAAGCTCTTTACGGACTAAAACAAACTCTTAGAGCTTGGTACGACAAACTAAGTAGCTTTTCTACTTGGAAATGATTTTGTGAGAGACAAAGTTGACACTTCTTGGTTCATAAAAGAGTCTGGAATAGATTTTATAGTAGTGCAAATCTATGTAGATGATATTATCTTTGGTGCTACTAATGAATCTCTATGTGAGAATTTTTCTAAATTGTTGTAGATGGAGTTTGAAATAAGCATGATAGGGGAATTGAAGTTCTTCTTAGGACTTCATATTAAAAAAAATAGATGAAAGCATCCATATTCATCAATAAAAATACACCAAGGAACTTCTTAAGAAGTTCAAAATGGATGATTGTAAGCTTATGCCTACTCCCATGCATCCATTTGGAAGCTTGTTAAAAGAAAAATCAGGTAAACCTGTGGATTAGATGATTTATAAAGGACTGATAAAGTATTTGCTCTACCTCATGGCAAGCAGACCTGACATTATGTTTAACATTTGTTTGTGTGCTAGATTTTAGTCTGATCCAAAGAACTATCACCTTAAGGCTATTAAACACATTCCCATATATCTTGCAGGTATTACTAACCTTAGTCTGTTCTTCAAGAAAAATCATGATTTCAGGTTAGTAGATTTTTACGATGTTGATTATGTTGGAGGTCGAGTGGAAAAAGCATAAGTAGAGGATGCCACTTCTTAAGAGACTGACTCATTTCTTGGGCAAGCAAGAAGCAAAACTCCATTGCACTATCTATAGTTGAAGCTGAATATATCTTTATAGTCAAATGTTGCTCACAACTACTATGGGTCAAATATCAACTTGAAGACTACTCAAGCTTTGAATCATCTTTCCTAGTATTTTGTGACAACACTAGTGCTATCAACTTGTCTAAAAATCTCATACAATATTTCGATAATAAGTATATTGAAATAAGATATCATTTCAATCGTGATTATCTCCAAAAAGGAGTTTTTGACATAAGATTCATTGATCTCATCACCAACTACCTGTTTTTCCCTTACTGAAGAAGTATTACTGTTTGCCATTAAGACTCTAGACATAGTTGATGAAGTGGAAGTTATGGCCCATCCTTTTGATCTACCAATAAGGTCTGTTGAACTTGTTGTGCCCACATTCCCCAAGCTGGTGGAACCATCTACTTTTGTCGTTGACATTACTACTCTGTCTACTAAGGTAGTAATTGAGCCAACCCCTTTAAGAGAAAGTACTTCATTGGTGGAGCTAGACCTATGAGAACCAGAAGGTTTTCTATCATATGTGTCCCTAACTGATGACTTTGAGTTTAAGAGTATAGACTCAAAAGAGGAGAGAGAACTATAACATATAGAGGAGGAGCGTACTACTGCAGATGATTGGGTACCTCTAGTCCTTGATGCCACCAAGAAGTCTCCTTACTTCAACAAGAATAGATACATAATCATGCACTTGTATGAAGCTTTTGGGACTGTCATCAGGCCAAGAGAAACCCTATAGACTAAACTCAAGCCCATTGATCTCAATGCAACATCTAGATGCACAAATCACTCAGCTCATCCAACAATAACACCATGAAGTATAGAATCCGATCCATTCATGAGTTGCTTTGGAGCTAAGCTATGAGGGAACCCCTCATCACTTGCCTTAGATGCTTGGTGAGGTGTACAGGCGATGGACGACCCAACTTTGCACTAAGTTCTTCATCACAAAAACTCATCCCAAGGCTACTTTCCACTCTGTCTACAAAGACAAGGAGAAACTGAAGCCATACTTGGATGATGTGTGCTACATGAGATATGCCAAGTGTCGTTAGTCTAGTGCCTTCAGTAGAGATAGGATTAAATGCCTACTCTTTGTTATTGGAAGAAGCATCCAAATTTACCCAATCCTTTCCAAGATTACCCTTTATCTTCAACACTCTCTCTACTCGTTGTAGGATTTATTGTTATTACTCTCCTTTTAATATTACATTTTGTGTTTGTTTACTTGACAATATTATTTTTCTATATAAAAAAAACCTTTTTGTTTGCCCTCTACTAATCAATTAGGTCCGTCAGCTCCACCCTAGACTCCTCCCCTTGCAACTGGCAAAGATAGGAATAACTTCTTTGTTGGTCTCTTCAAAGCTCTTTGTTATGCTTACTAGAGGCAAGCCCGTTATAAAAGAATTTTTATAAGTTGCTTAGTTGTATGAATATAGAGTTGAGCTTTAATGAGGGGGAAGACTAATCTTTGGACTAGTTGTTGTTGGTGCCAAAAAGAGGAGTAGAAATTATGTTTTTGAACAATGTTTTTGCTCTAATTATAGTTTTTTCTTTGATTTGACTTATAACAATATGCTCTGATATAACAAATGTTTTTATGCTAATATCAATATTCTTTTAGATCATGCATGTTTTTATGGAAAGTCCTCTATCTATTTCATCTCATACTTATATATATGCTCTTATATGTATGTCATATATAGGTATATGATCTAATAAATATATTAGGCTCTGATATGTATGATAGATAACATAGGCTCTGATATGCAAAAAAGATCTGATATGTCCATTCTAATAGGTTTTGAAATGAATAAGTATGATAATACACATATCATATTTGCTCAGATATAAATAATGCTATGATATGATTAATAAAATCAAGAGAACATGTTGATATACATGTCTTCAATGAATGTGTGCATAAAATCAAACCATTAGTATGATCTTATACACAACGTCTGAGAGATGCCCTCTTATATTATTGTGATGAAATTATATCACTTCCTCATCTTAAAGAAAATCACATTTTGAATAAAAATGATTTTCTTGAATTAATATCTTTTCATAAAAATATTTTGTCTTAATCAACAAAAAAAAATTTTAAGTAAAAAAAGCCTTAGTTTCAAAACATGTGTTTGTCACTATAAAAAAGGGAGAGATTGTCAAGGAAAAAAATGATCTTAGATCCCTTAAGCTCTAAAATTTTAATGATAGCAAATAGAATGTTTTTGTGAAATACTTATTAGATGAAACATAAGATGTAATTCATTAAAGAAGTGATGTGTCATTAAACAAAACATATAGTTTGTCTTTATAAAGTCTTATATGTTTATTATTTATAATGACTAACAACTACTTTTTGTATGTTTAAGTTATTCCTTAATAGATCAATCTAAGAAAGTTTTTTGGAACTCACAAGTCTATTAAAGAGAATGAAGACATGTTTTTTTTAAAACTAAGGACAAATGGATTCTTGAAATCACTGAAAAAGTCAACAAAAGTTGATGCAAAATTTGTTTCTCGTTGACACTTGCTACATATAGTTTATTTGTTATCCTAAAGATGATAAGTAGTTTCTTTGACCAAATAAGAAGTGACAATTTTGTTAAATGCATTTAATGCATCAACAGATACTTCTCACCTCAAGGAAAGAAGATTCTTTCATTCTTTTTGTAAAATTCTTTGTACTTAATTTGTTGTATTACATATGATAAGAAGATGAAAAAACTTTGTAAGCCTTAATAACTCTAAGTTATTAAGCTTAAGCTGGGAGATACTTATTTATAAAAGAATATTTGTTGTTTGAGCATGGAGAGACTTGACTATAAAAAAATACCCAATGTTTAAATTTGGAGAGAATTTGCATGGAAAGAATACTTGACCAGTTGCTCAAAGAAGTAAGTCAAAGAATACTTAGACTTGAGCTAGAAGTAGCTTTTTGAAAGAATATTTGTATTTTGTTTAAGATAATGAAACTCAATCCAATTGGATTGAGAACTGAATGTTGTCTCAGTGGTTGAGACAAACCACTATAAAAATATCATGTTCCTTCTATTTCTCTTTGGCACTCTTTACTATTAAAGTTACTATTTCACTACTTAAAAAATACAAGTTCTTAATTGATATTTTTTTCTCCATAATTTTTATATTTTACTAATGTTAAAAAAAGACACTTGTTTTGTGTATTTTTTGAACCAAGTTCGATAGAAAGATAAAATAAAGAAACTCTCTCCCTTCTTCATCTCTCATCCTAACGGACTAATGGTGCTAAACATTACACAATCCACATGATTAAATTAATATTGTGTTTGGATGAGAAATTTAAATGGGATAATTCATTTGTTTGAAGAATTTCAAATTCTTTGAAGTGAAATACCTTGTTTGGATAAGAAATTTATAAAGAATTTAGAATTCAAATATTTGTGAAATTCCTTGAAATAGTAGAATTTCAAATTTTTCATATATTTTTTTTTCTTATTCACTTATATATTTTATCTTATCTCCTATCTCTTTATGTTTTAATTATTGAATGTTAAAAAATATTTTTAAAATTATTAAATATAATTTAATATTAATTTTTAAATTATTAAATATTTAAAAATTAGTTAATATTTATTTTTATAAATTTTAATTTAAAAATATCAGCATATAAATATATTTTTAAAATTAATCTTACTAGAATCATATTCAATCTAGTAATTTAAAATTTAAAAAATTTAAATTAACTTAATCTAAATAAAATATTTTGAGAATAATAAAAATAAAAATATAAAAATAAAAATTTGTTGGTCCAAAGTCCAAAGTATCGAGGTTACAGGAAGGAAGAAGCGGAGGTTAGTGAGGCAAGCAGAGTCCAACCAAATTCCATTCACCTGAGCTCCGACGACCGGGCTCACGTGTTATGCGCCGCTCCCAATGCCACCCAACTCCACCATTTGTCGTCCCTTCCTCTTCCTCTCCAAACACCACTACTCCTCTCACTACCTCTCCCACTTCCTCCCTCTCGCCGCCTCCGACTTCCAACCCCTCACCATAATCACGCCGCGCGAACGCCGCATACTGGTGGTGGGCCTCTCCGCCATCGTGAAAACTGACCAGGGTTTCGCCCTCAAGGCCTTCTCCCTCCGCTTCTGCCCCTTCTTCCTCGTCAAGATCATGAAGCTCCTCCAAACCCGCCACGCCGCCTTCGCGTTTTTCAAGTTAGCGTTTGGCGACGGTTGCGCCTCCGAGGAGACCGTCCGCTTGAGTTGCGTCGCCGCGCACGTTCTCGCCGCGCAGAAACTCCACCTGCTCGCGCAGGACGTCGTTTCGTGGCTCGTTGCTAGGGTTGGGGCCGGGAGAGCCAAGGAGCTCGTGGAGCTTATGTGGACGAATCACGCGTTGTACGAGTCTGATTTCTCCGTGTTGAATACGCTTATGCGGGCTTTTCTCAATTCTGGGATGAGTTTTGAGGCTTTGGAGATTTTGCGTAGGATGAGGGATGTGGGAGTTAGGCCTGGTTTGTCTTCGCTCACGATTCTTATTAGGTTGTTGCTTCGGGTTGGTGATTATGGTAGTGTGTGGAAGTTGTTTAAGGATATGGTCTGCAAGGGGCCTCGCCCTTCGAATATCACTTTTAATGTGATGATTCTTGGGTTTTGTAAACAGCAGAAGTTTGTGATTGCGGAGAGTTTGTTGCATTTGATGCCTAAGTTTAGGTGTATTCCTGATGTTGTTACGTTTAACATTCTTATTAATGATTGCTGTGTTAGGGGGAGGACTTTTGTTGCGATTGATTGGTTGCATTTTATGGTCAGGAGTGGTTGTGAACCGAGTGTTGCCACGGTTACTACCATTATGCACGCACTTTGCAGGGAAGGGAATGTGGTGGAGGCACGTAAGCTCTTTGATGGAATTCGGGATATGGGAGTCACGCTGAATGCTGCGGTGTATAATACACTGATGGATGGATATGTCAAGGCGAGGGAGGTTGATCAAGCTTGCTTGCTTTATGAAGAGATGAGGACTAAGGGTGTTTCTCCTGATTGTGTGACCTTTAATATTTTGGTTGGGGGGCATTATAAGTATGGGAGGAAAGAGGATTGGAACAGGTTGTTGAAAGATTGGATAGTATTAGGATTGTTTTCGGATTGTTCACTGTATGATGTAACTGTGTCATGGCTATGTTGGGCTGGCAAGCTTGATGAGGCCATGAAATTGTTACAAGAACTGCTTGAGAAGGGACTGACTCTAAGTGTTGTTGCCTTTAATTCAGTAATAGGAGCCTATAGCAGGGAAGGTTTAGAAGACAAAGCTTTTGAAGCCTATCGGATTATGGTCAAATGCGGCCTCACTCCGTCATCGTCCACTTGTAATTTTTTGCTTATGGGTTTATGTAGGAAGGGGTGGTTGCAAGAAGCCAGGATACTTTTCTATAGGATGTTAGAGAAGGGGTTTCCCATTAACAAAGTGGCTTATACTGTGCTTTTGGATGGACACTTCAAGATGAATGATTTGGGTGGAGCTCAGTTTTTCTGGAAGGAAATGAAAGAAAGGGGCACATATCCAGATGCTGTTGCTTTTGCAGCCTTAATAGATGGACTTTCTAAGGCAGGTAATGTCGAGGAGGCATATGAAGTCTTATTAGAAATGTCAGCTATAGGTTTTGTTCCCAATAATTTTGCTTACAATTCTTTGATTAGTGGGCTCTGCAATTGTGGGAGGATGAATGATGCATTGAAGTTGGAGAAAGAGATGAGGCAAAAAGGCCTTCTTCCTGATACCTTCACCTTCAATATCATCATTGATGGGTTTTGTAGACAGGGACAAATGAATTTTGCAATTGATACCTTTCTTCACATGCAGCGAATTGGGTTGTTGCCAGATATTTTTACATTTAACATATTAATTGGAGGATACAGTAAGGCATTTGACATGGTTGGTGCAGGTGAGATTGTTAATAAAATGTACTCATGTGGGCTTGACCCAGATATCACAACTTATAATACACGCATGCATGGTTATTGCAGAATGCGAAAAATGAATCAAGCAGTTATCATTTTGGATCAGCTCATCTCTGTCGGTATTGTTCCAAACACAGTGACATACAACACTATGATGAGTGGTATTTGTAGTGATATATTAGATCGTGCAATGATTATTACTGCAAAGTTACTTAAGATGGGATTTATTCCGAATGTGGTTACATCCAATATGTTGTTGTCTCATTTTTGCAAGCAGGGGATGCCAGAGAAGGCATTACTATGGGGTCAAAAGTTAAGGGAGATTTCCTATGGTTTGGATGAAATCTCCTATAGAATACTGGACCAAGCTTACCGTTTGACACAAGATGATGTTGAACTTGTGAGAGGAACATATGAAAAGGGCCTTTTTATGGATTTCCTAATGTACATTACATTTGACTATTTTTCAAGAAATAAATCCCAGAAGATAGAGAATGAGAATAGTGATAATGTAAAGTTGATTGAAAGTCAATTTGTTGCTTTGTGAACTTGATTGTTCCATCGTTCTATTATCCTTGAAATCTGCTTTGAATTTGTGTAATCATGTGAACAATAAGTTGCACTCATTGATTGGCTACTCAAGCATTACATGATATAAGTGGTCACAGTATGTTCTGTGGCATAAACTGTAAGAGACAATTGAGGCATTGGTAGCCTTTTTTGAAGATGAATATCATTGGTTATTACTACCTATTCTGGGGAGCTTCTAGCTGTATTTCTCCATGAAAGATAATAGCAGCAATCCATTTAGAGGCTGCAAGGGAAGCATGGTTTGATTTTGTGATTGAAGCCTTCAGAATATTATCAGTCAGTCTGAAATGCGATTGAATGCACTGAACAGCTGGCAATGGAGGATGTTTTGTAAGTATAGTAACTCTATGTACTATAGAGAAGTTATGATATCAAATCTTGCTTGTGCATGTCTGCCTCCTGTTTTTTAGAAAAGATCCAAACTCTTTTTTGATATTTATATAAGGCTCCCTGGGATCCCTTCTAATGGGCAATTGAGAGATAGTGATTGTATTCGAGTCAGAATATGTGAAGGCAGATTTGCATTGCTGATACGAGAGGTTGGGAATATTTTCTCTTCCCATTATTTGCTTGCTGATACCTTAACACAATTATACACAAACACATAGTTACTGTCATTTTGATGATTTATTTTATTTGAAACATTTCTTGTTATCTTGTACATGTCAGCCTATCAAAGAAGGGAACTTTATCATTCAGCCTAAAGTGGATTTTGATATAAGCATTAGTACGGTTGCTGATCTTCTTAATCTTGGGTAAGCCACAATGCAAAAAGATATTCTTACCCATTTGTAGGTCTTCAATAAACATACAACTATGTTTGATGGATTAAGGTGTGATGTTCATTAATTGCGTGAGCATTATGTGCTAGTAGAATAACATCCTAAGTTGTGTCAAACTGCTATTGGTTGAGGAGCAGCCAATAGTATACTTTAGTACATGTAGACATCTTGTTGGTAAACTCAACTATCTTACAGTAACTAGACCAGATGTTACTTTTGTTCTGTGGTAAGTTTCTAAATGCTCTTTGTGATGATGATCATTAGGATGTTGTGGTTTGTAATGTAAGCTACATCAAGAGTGTAGCACTAAAGGGTTACTTTATGATAATAAAGGCAATGCTGAAATTGTTGGTTATTTTGATGCTGATTCGAGCAGGTTCATCATTAACTAGAAGATCAAATTTAGGATATTGTGGGTTTGCTCGGAAAAAGTCTCATGGAGCAGAAAGAAGCAAAACACTGTTGCTAGATTATGCGTAGAGGCAGAGTACCACCCTGTGATTGCAGCAATCTGTTAACTTGTGTCACTAAGGTTGCTTTAGTAGCTTTAATTGAGAGATGTCAAGACCATGAACTTACCTTGTGAAAATATGCTACTCTTCATTTTGCTTCAAGCATAACTTTTCACGAAAGGACCAAACATGTAGAAACCGAGTATCATTTTATTAAAGAAAGTGTTCTTTCATGTGTTTGGCTTTGTCAATTTTGACTATCAGTTAACAAACATGTTGACTAAATTCCTCAGAGAACCTCACGTCAACTTTTTTCATAACAAGCTTTATGCATGATATATATGCTCCACCTTGAGGCAAGGTTATTTTTTTATTTTATTATTATTAACGAGATTTCTGCTATTTCAGTATTTCAGTTTGTCGTAGCTGCATGAAATAATGGGCGGATAAAGCCGAATGTCACATAAGATCCTTCTTTTTTAAAATATTTGCTTCAATGCACTTTGTTTTTGGTTATAATTGAAATATGTTGAAATTAATAAACTATTTCTCCACGTGATGTTAATTTGATAAAAATTGCATAACGGGAGTAAATTGCGGGGAAACAACCAACACCAATGAGACCTTTAATTGTTTAAAAAAAAAAACTAAGTTTTATTTAATTTTTGGTATAAGAAAAATCCTTTTAAGATAAGTTGTAGTATATGATGTAATTCTTTCTTAATAAATTAATTTATTATTCCTGTTTTTTTATTGTGTTCTTAATGCTTGCAACGTTGTCCTACATTTGAGAAGTCTAGGGCATTACGTGAAGGAATTGAAACTACATTTTAAGCCTATATTCTACATTCTTTACGGAATTCTAAAAATCGGATATGATTAACGTGCATTTTATGAAAAATGATATCATCAAAAATCGGATATGATTAACGTACATTTTATGGAAAATGATATCATCGTCATCATCTCGATATATATATTTTAGCACTAAAAAAAACAGGAAAATAATTTATCGTCAAGAATATAATAAAATGTTGAATAAGAAATATTTTTACGCAATGAAATCTTAATTACTATTTGAATCATTTATCAAAGTTTGGTAATCAGCAATCACATTATCCTCGAGGGCATATATTTATTACTTTATGAGCTATTACTACACCCGTGTCCTCGGATATTTCTTAATATGAAAGCTATATAACAAATAACATCAAAATATCGAACAAATGTCAAGCAAGCAAAGAATGATAGCTCACTCAATTCTACCTAGAAGCATTGTACGAAACATGTAACGCAGCGATACAATCCATGGTACAAGGCATTTTAGAGAGAGGGTCGTGTCCTAGAATTGTTCCTAAAAATGCCAATATGAAAAATTATCAATGAACCTCTCAAAAGATGAAAATGCATCAAAACTAAACAATAGCATTAACAAAGATGCTAAATGTTTCATATTAAAATTAAAATAAAGCAAAATATTGGAACCTTCACTTTTCAATTGCTTGCTTCAGAAAGTAAGCAGCTACTGCAAGTAGGATGATAAGTACCGCAATCCACAAGCTCAGCCCTCCTTAAAACAAGGGGGAAAAAGTAAGTCGAGAACTAAATTGGCCCTCTACTTGATAAATGACCAAATACAGCATCCATTTAGCAAATAAATCATTAATTTGGTTCCTGAAGTCTTGTCCTCTCTCCTAAATAGACCTTGAACTACTGAAATTATATAAATAGTTCCTAAAGTATTAGAAATTATGTTACATGGTTCCTCAAGTACTGAAATTCTTCAAATTAGTCCTTCAATGTTAGTAAAATATATCAATCCAGGGGCTAAATAAATGTACATTCAATACTTTAGGAACTACTTATATAATTTTATTAGTTTAAGTACTATTTAGGAGAAAGCAAGGGTGATACTTCAAGGACTAAATGATGGTTTAATCTCCAGTTAGCAAAGAAAATATGTATTTTATTGAACTGAGTCCCTAATTTCATTTATAGCATATTATTTTTATAATTACTTTTTTTGGGGTGGTAGGGTTGGTCAAATACCTAATAGTCTGAAAACGAGGGTATTGTACTCATGGAAAAAAATAATTATACAAATCTTCACTTCCAGCAACCATATATCCTTCACAGGCAAAGTGAGTGCTAACCTTTCTAACTTAGGGTTTAGGGTCTATGGATAGGCTGAAAGGACTACTCTAAGTAAAAAGTGTTCTCCAAAACAGTTATGTATTTGTACAGCGAGAACATGAGGAGTTAACCTGTCAACAAACTATGAAATAACACGTACCATTTGTCTTCTTCTCTTCAATTATTGTTACCCTCGCACTTGAATCCATCGAAACAGAAGCCAAGGCCCTAAAGACAGAAGCCACAATCTTTAAACATGCATAAGGCAGCAAATGTCTAGTAACAGCAAAATATATACACACACACATTGAGTTCAAACCTTGAATCAGGGGAGAATGCTAAAGCAGTTATTATGCCAAGGTGAGCCCTTTTTATCACTGTCTGAATCTTCATATTTGTTGAATTTACAATTACAATATCTCCTGAAGGTGTTCCACTGCATGTCAACCCACCAAAACAGAAGAAATAAGTTCTTGTCAAAGTGCACCCTTGAGGTCTGAAGGTAAACCACAAAAATTAAGTCACCATTTGCTTCCAGGTAGCTTAAGAAAACAAGGGTGCCATCTAAAGTAATAGAAAAATACAGATTAGAATATGTACCATGCAAGAAACTTTCCATCAGCTGAGACATTCAATGCAGAGATTGGATCACGAATAATATACTTTGAGCCCATCCTTTCCCATGTTTGTGTATTCCAGGTCAGGATGCTTCCACCTTTATCTATATCCAAAAAAAAACTTGTGTCTGTTGAAAGATACAGCAAGGAGATAATTTTTATCTGCAATTTATTTACCTGTCATGGCAGCAATATATAGGACCTGAGGCTTGTCATTTGTTTGAGAAAATCTGCAAGAGCTAAAAGTTTCACGCTGTAAAAATTCAACAAAATATGATTAGTATACACAATTAATGACAAAGCAATCACCTAGTCAAACAACATGTGAATAATATTGAAGCGCCATATATTCCAATGTTCAGCCAGCCTAGGCAATATAGAATTTTCCCCACTAAACGTTAAATGCTAGATTTACTTGATAGTACATGTTGGCTATGTCTTCATAATTAAGTATTAATTTCTACTTCAGATAAACGTAAGATATTTCCCAACATGTCAACATGATTGGAACGAGATCAGGATATATAGAATTATGATACACCGTGAAAAAAGTTTCAAGAATAATTATTATTTGGGATTTTATACTTTCTCTTAGAATATCTGCTGTTTAGGGCCTTCTCCACTAGGAAACTAATTATCTTGTTTGTGTTTAGGTTGCTTTAGGATCCACTCAGCCTATTATCACAAAACTAGTAAATTTTGAGAACCAGAGTAAACTGGTCAATTCAACCAGTCAATCTGGGAACCTCCCATATACATGCTAGTCTCATCACTTAGTAACGTTCAGCACCCTTCATAATCACTCAGAACGGATCAACATCAGCACAAAGCCGTTGGTTGCCAGTGCTGCTCTGACCGCTGGTTCAGCATGTTTAACCAACCTGAATCTTCTTTAAGGAACCTTTCATTTTAAAGAAATTGCCTTAAACTGGGCCAGAACATATATTACTGAGAGGGAGTGACCATCTGATGCTAATACTCAGACAAACAACTCTTTTTAACATTTTTTCCCCCAGCTTTAAGTCATTGATGAATAAATATGGAGGTACTAGATAATAATGAATACAGGAAAATAGTAAACAAATGAACTTTAAATAATAAGCAACAGGTTTTAACACAGATACAATAAAAAAAAAATAACATTATATCATCTACAGTCTAGACTAAATAAAATTATATGTAAATTGTACTAGTTAATTATGTGATTTATACATTTTTTTTATATCATAGCTGTATTTATGTCAGTATGGAGTACAATCCATGAAAACCAAATTTCAAACAATGCTTATAAAGTTGTCAAGCCCATGCAAAGTTTAAGTCAAATTAACTTTCTCAACTGGTAAGTTTTTACTGAATTGCTCACGTTTTCATTTGATAGAGAAGCTAAGACCATTGACGAAGAAAGATCCCAAACCCTGCAGGGACCACCACTTCCCAAAGAGGCAAGTAATTTACCATCAGAACTGTGAAACAAACAAAAGCAAGCTTTAAGACACAGTCATTTACAAATAACAGAGTTTATAGAGATGCCCTTGTCAACTTTTCCTTCTTTTCCTTGAGAATTATAAAGTCAAAGAGTAACATATCTATGAAATGCTTATTCTGCTATGCACATCAAACCTGAAATGTAAGTCCTTCACAGAAGAATGAGCATTAGACTCGGTGAGAATAACTTCCATGCTAGGCCACTTGAAAACCCTTAGATTGCCATCCTGTACTGCATCAAAATTACAATATCATACAGCATCCACCCCTTTATAAACAAAGAAATCCTCTACAATTTAATGCTTATTTGTCAGAAGAATGAAAACATTGTAATCCAGTAGTAAAGAAAATTTAAAGCAAATATTTGATATGTGACTACTGTCCAATAAACAGAAATTCCTCACTGTTTAATATCAATTTCATATCACATCATACAATAAAATTGAAGCAAAATGGAGCAGACATAGCAAAGGCTACATTTCGAGTTTTTGACAGCTTTTGAAGCAACATTTGGCAATTCCATTGATGATTATCATCCCTTCAGGTTGGATTTTCAGCAAACAAAATCTCGACGAACATGTTTTCAGGTGTATGTTAACAGATACAAGGAAATAATAATTGTATTAGGGATGACAAATGGTTATCATTAATCATTTTTACAATATACAATGCAAATTAACTATTCATATGCTAGGGTAACACTCAAATAATTCTACGTCTATTAAGTACATATGTTCATTTTACTTTGTAATACCATCTACTCATTTTCTTAACGAGGATTCCACATTGGTATCCATTTGTATGAGGCAGAGTAAAACGACTTTGGAATTTAGAGATATTAATCCTTTTGTAAGTATTCCTTAGTTTAAAATGAAGTGCAGTAATAATTTATTAGTTAGTGGAAATATTTTCCCAAAATTATCTTTCTTTCATTTAGCTAAAAATTAACATCAATGTTATAAAATGGTTTCTTTCAACCTTATGCAAATCTAAAGGAAATCTATACCTCCCCACCAGCAGCTAGTGCAGTACCGTCATTGTTGAATGCCAATGCTAATTGCTGTCCAACATCCTCCAACTGTGTGAGAACTTTCTCTGACAACTTCAGACTCAACTTATGAATTTCAGAACTCTCCCAATCGAACCATCTGCATGAACAAGGCATAATATTGATCTATAGCTAAATGTGACAATAGAACAAAAGAAAATCAAAGTTTGATTTTGGTCTAAAACATCAGTACAGTGTTTATTTATGAACTGACAAAATAACCATAACTTCCCTCTTTTTTACTGTATTCTTATCTGCACTTCAGTGAATGAATACATACTTTCATTTAGTTAGTGGCAGCACTAGAGACATGTTTGGGGAATTTACAATGGCATACATCAAACATCCAGCTGCCAATCCTCTAGAACAAATTGACAAGGAAAAAAAAATCCACAATTTTTTGTTGTTTGCCTTTCTTTCGTTCTAAAGTAGACAAATTTCCACAAAATGAAAAAAGTTAGAATTAAACAGTAGAAACTCTCAAAACTACAAATAATTAGGAGTTATTTCCTTGTGGTCTAGAAAATATGGTACATAGTACATACACATGCTGAGTTCTTTCCTTGTCAATCTGACTTCAAACTGATGCTAGAAATAAAAAACTGAAGTTGTCAAAAATTGTCTTACATCATTGCTATGGTTAGAACTACTTAAATTACAGTTTATTCGGTTTCTAATTTTCCAGTTCAATATTCAGTCCAAAAATATAAAATAAAAGTAGTTTGCAAGTAAAAAATTCTAGAGATAGAGTGTGATTGAATTACTTCAATCCATACAAAGTTTTCGTCCATACCTAGCGGCTCAACATAAAAAGGTTATATTTTATATACATAACTAAACTATATAGAGCTCACACAGTTCCTCAACATACTAGAGTAGACAGGTATTAATACTTCTGGAATTGTATCTCTATGTTGGACTTGGATCATAAAGCATGCAAAGCTGACAGTTTCAAATTGTGATCTTATTTTCCTACCTTTATCTATACTTCAGACTACTTGGTTGAGTAGGTGAAAATGGAAAAAATATTTGAACAAGAAAAAATCTATGTGAAAGATGTATACATTTTCCAACTGCTCAACCAAACATGACCGACATCTATGCTCATACTAGTCTGCGTTCACTCATCCAAAACATTCTAGTTTGACACAAGGATTTCAATAGAGAAATGGGTTCTACACGGATATGAAGCAAAGAGGCGAGGGGAAGAAAAAGACCTGCAAACCTTCGGCGTTTCCATTGCACAAATAAGGCCATCGCCATTGGAGTGAAGTGCCATCCTATAAGGCAATTCAGAATCAGTTCCTAGCTTACACACCTGAAATATTGATAAGATTACTCAAACAAGAGAGTACAGCATTATAAACACGTGAACCGCATCTTCTGCAAACATCTTCGTGCAATCTCAGACGAACAATAAAAAATTAATAAATCAATTGCAATCAATTCGAGCAAATCTACTTCCACAAAACAACACATAAAATCAAAATCAAGCAACTAGCACAGACTCCTCACAGTGCAACAAAAACAAGCACTAATCCGCATTGCATCACAAACGAAAATCCTAACGAAAACCAGATCCGATTCCTCTAGTTCCGAATCACGAAATCAAATCCCTAAGACTTCCGGAATCGAGCAAGAAATAGAAGGGAGATATCGTGTACCGGTTCGTCAGAGAGAGTATTGGACGCAAAGTCGAAGTTGGCAATCACCAAAGCATTTGGAATACCGCTGCGGCCTGCTCCGCCACCGCCGGCGAAGAGAAGGTAGTTACCGGCGGGCGGGGGGGGGG